TGCAGGTTGCCCTTCTCCCTGCATTTAAATGAGCACTTTCACAAATTTATTTTCTTAGTACACATATATATATTTAGGTTACCAGGCAAAGTTGAAGTCATTTAACTATTTCAGGTTTTGCTGAAGTCAAGTACCTCCTATGATCAAACAGTATTTCCAGAATATTAAGCTTGCAAGTGAAGCATTGCTTAATCATTGCGCTGACATGTTTATAAAGGTTTATAAAGAGTCCATACCGGTGATGGAGCTGTGGATCTTGTCTTTGTACAGCCTCATTCTGGAATTGTAAATATGTGACTTAATACAGAGTTGCTGATTTAACAAAAAAAAGGGGGCACACTAATGAATTCCTGTAGAGTGTTTGCATAGATGTTATTTATTATTAATATAAAAGAAGAGGTGATATAATAGAGAATAATGTCTTTGTGTCTGTACATAAAATGCAAACTGAAAGACCACTCGGTGCGATCTTAGAACGGCGATGGTTGCCACCAAGAAGTAATTGTGTGTTTTACTTGATAGGAGTTTTTAATAATGGCTTCCTGTGAGTCAGCAGATAAGCCCAGTTTAATGAAAGCGAGGCGCTGAGCGTCTCTTCAGACCTACGGGCTGTTTAAAGGAAAAAGGTAGTGAAGTACGAGTTCATTTAAAAGCCTCCATGTTTGCTGTCTTAACTTGAGCTGTGCCATAATTCATACCACCTCACCCCCATTGTTGTGACTCTCCTGCATTCAGTGTTACGGTAGACACTCTGTCTGTACATGTGTTTGCTCAGACAGATGCTGTGCCTGTCTGATTTTTAAGTTGAATAAAAATCTCCTGTTTTTGTTTTTTTTTTTCCAAAAATGATTTTGACTTTGTGTTGTTATAAATGAAGAGGAGTTTGACGTTTAATCACTTTATTCGCAGTTTTGTATCCAGAACATCTCTTCTAAACCATACCGACTACAATGTGACCCACGTTACTGACAGAACATGCATGTTACTATTAAACACAGTCAAGATAAATATACAGACTTGGATGATGTAACACATTCGATAGATATTATCTAGGGCTAGCCTGTGAGAACAATGATGAGGCATCTGCATGTTATCATATACAGTTTCCCACAGAATGTATGGAGGACATCATTAAATAATTAAATGTGTTATCAATTAAAATTTAAAATGCATTCAATATTTTAAATGAAATGAATTTGTTTATATATTTAATATTCAGTGTTAATTAATGAGACATTTAATTAACTAATGACATTAAATTAATTATTTATTGATGTTTTATTTAATTCATTTTGGCACCCAAAGCCATAAAATTATATTTATAACTAATGTATTGTGCAATCTGTTCTCACGCTAAAACCATCAAAGACAAATTTATTATCTACTACATTCCAAACCTTTATTTTGAAAGTTCAGTCAGTCTTCAGTCTGCTAGCCTCCTGCTGAATCCCTTGCTGAAAACGGTCCTCAGCATCAATCAGTTGTCTCAGGTCTCTCCTCCGATATCAGGTGCACTTCAATCCACTGCAGCTGGACTGCATCAGAAGCCTTTTTGTGCTCTGAAGATCCCCTGTGAACTGGATGGCCGCTCTAATCAGCACTCACAGCTGGAAGCTTTGGGCTGCTCGCTTTTTCTTTT